AAAAAAAAAAAAAAAAAAAAAAAAAAAAAAAAAAAAAAACAGTGTACATATGCTTCTGCAATCCCACCTCATTCGATCTGATAGCTACCAGGATACAAACAGAGAGGCGTAACTTCATTGACTCGAAGTCGTTTAGATGCTGAGGCTCACAGGAAATCAGAGACATCATTAAGCAAACAGAGAAACTGGAATCTTTGGATATGTTGTTTTTAATCCACTGTTAAGCCTTCTGTGGAAGTGGTTGTCTGTATTCTCAATCGCATCACTTTGGCAGACTGACAGAACAAACAGCATGGACTGAACTGCAGAATCTGAGCTTTGTTTTCTATCAATTTGTGCTTTCGTGATCAACGTTCTACTTTCCACCTTGAGTTTTTAGGTGTGCTGATGATGGTCTGATAGGTCTTCAGAAAAGAAAGGAAACTACACAGACTTCATAAAAAGTCAGTATCTTTCTTAAAGGAGACATACCATGCTTTAAAAATTATTCTTTTTCTCAAGTAAATGATTCAGCTGAGGTCTACATAAAGTGGAACTGCGATGCTTTGGTCTGAATTCCTCCTTATTGCAACTCCACAAGCCCCTCTTTCACACTTTTCTGAGGTGTGTCTCAGATCAACTCATTTTGAGGCTGTTTCTTTAAGTTAAAACCTGGCGCTTCACACCCTGCCCCACAAGCAGAACATGAAGATACATCTACAGAGCACCGGGAGACTAAATTCTAATTCTCTGCACTCTTATCACAGTAAAAATGCCAGTGTTAATTTAACACCCACAGTGTTAATTTCAACACCAACAAAGCGTCTATATGTGTCCACACTCAATGGTGTTAAAATAATATTTTAAAGTGTTAAATTTTAACACCCATTTATTTTGTTAATTTAACACCAACCAGTGTTTAATATTCAACAATACTGGGTGTAAATATTGGAGCTCCTTGCAACCAGGAAAGGACAAGTGAGTAAAGAAACTGGATGGATGGATGGTTAACACAAAAACGTGTGTTTTTATTTATGTATTTTTATATGTTGAGTGGTTTCTCTGCACTGGAAAACACCAAGTGATTGGGTTACATGTGACTACAGAAGTCACAACACGACAGTGCCAACCCCACCAGGTGCAAGTGAACAAACAAACCCAACCAGCATGTGAGGAAATGAAACATTTTGAGTTATCAAGGAAAGTTTCCAGAAAAGGAAGAATTGACCAGGAAGTTATAACCAAAACAGAAACCCTGGAAAATTCCAGATTTATATCTTCAAAGTTCTGCGAACACTTTACATGGATTGGTAACTGACAGCCTTCATAGTATGACTCAGACAAACTATTGGAAAATACTGGAAATAATTGATCTTTTTAGAAAAATAAAAATAGATTTGCAAAGTTGTATCTGGACAAAGACAACAAAATCTGTACAGTGAATGTCGGGAACTTGAGACCAAAGAAATGCTTTACTAAACTGCAAAAAAACTGTGTTTATTGTGCAGCTGAATAGTTTGGATAGCTTGTAGTCACTGTGAAATCTTCTGTACGTTAAAGCAGTTGTTCCCAAACTTTTCAGCTTTTGACCCACAAAATATTCATGGCAAAAACTTGTGACCCCAAATATTACTGGTCTGAGTACACAAACTTTGTTAGTAACCCTAAAAACAAGGGCTACACAAATATAAACACTTATTTATACTTATTTTGTGTTTTTGTAATAATTAAAGGGACAATATTACATTAGCAATTATTTTATTACCATTTAAATTGATTTCTGAAGCAGTGGTTCCCAAAGTTTTCAGCTTTTGACTCACAAAATAACAGTAGCAGAGACCTGTGCCCCCAACTATTTTTGGATGATAAACATTTGTATCAGGTCAACTAAACATGGGCTTAGTAACAATATTTATTATTCTACATTTATCCATTTTAGGCAACTAAGGCAAAAATGTAATTAATATAGGAAAATCTTTTCAGGACCCAACCT